GTTGATGTCTGTTTGAAAGTAATAGTTTGGTTTGACGTCATTATTATGGTGAGAAGTGTTTGCTTTAGTTGGGCAATTTGACTCTTGACTTTCTGAGGTTTTCTCTAGCTGTTGTAACTATGTTTGTTATCTCAAAAGCAGCAAGAGAAAATGCAGGGATCTGATTACTGATCTCATCTAGAGTCTAATCTATGTGGTTAATTTCATATTAGAGCCTATAGCGATGTGTTTCAACACCATAAGCTCCAGCAATGTTCTAATCAGAGAATCTGTATTTCTATCCGTAATTTTTAAAACACATTGTTCATAAAGCACTTTGAACTACTAAGTGCTTAGACACACAGACATCAAGAATCAGTGTATGAATCTCAACAATGGTGACATGCTTCACTCACGTCAGTCAGCCCCACTGCCAAGATGAAAGTCTCAAAGGACTGTAACCAGCGAGTCCAGGGAATCGGAGGCTCGCCGGGTAGAGCAAGGAAAAGAGCAGGAGGTGGTAGTGCGATATCAGTCATCCTCGTCGCCAAATGTTGCGTTTGATAAGGATCACATCGACACAGCGAGTAACATCAGCTTATCTTATCTTTTTACTTAACCTCTCTGTTCCAGACCCCAGTAAACAAACACCTACATTGGTCAGGCATGACAGAATGCTTTCAGCACAATCAAACTCGATGCATCACTGAACACTAACTAACAGTGTGACAACACAACACACTGTCTTCAGGATTATTAGAAAATCACAGGTAGGTGAGTTTGATCAGGGATGGAGCTAAACTCTGCAGCGTAGTGGCCCTACAGGGCAAGATGTGAGGAACCCTGCTTTTAAATCAACGTTTCAAACAACAACAACAATAAAAAAATAAAAAAAAACAGATAAAGACAAAAATTTGTCATTGATAATATCTAAACATGTGTCCAAATTTCCACCATTTCTTTTATATATATATATATATATATTATCTACAGAAAGTATGCTTTCTCTCACTCTAGATGAGATCAGTAATCAGATCCCTGCATTTTCTCTTGCTGCTTTTGAGATAACAAACATAGTTACAACAGCTAGAGAAAACCTCAGAAAGTCAAGAGTCAAATTGCCCAACTAAAGCAAACACTTCTCACCATAATAATGACGTCAAACCAAACTATTACTTTCAAACAGACATCAACATCTACACCTCTGTTAATCTCAATAAGAACATTTGTAAATGTTTGACAGAAATAAAGTCGATCTGTTTTGTAAGTGAAGCTGGTAATGCTGTTTTTGGAGATATTTACTCTGGAGCTTGACATCAAACAAAGGTTGGGTTTTCACTTTCAAAGAAAATGTGACTTCTGAGCAATGTAAGTCCACATCTAGTGTGATGAGAAGCTTTATTAGAATGTTAGAGGATGATGTTCTAACAATGTTATCAATAAACATTTTTAGAATGTTTTTAGAGAATGTTATCCTACCTTTTAGCAGAACATTCTGGGAACTAAAATAAAACTTGCTGCTGAAAACATTACCAGAACATGAAACATTTCTAGATGGGTGACTGAATCTCCAAAACCAGAATGAATTTCTAGGCTGGTTTGTTTGGCTCAGCAATCAAATCAGATATCAGAAAACTACAGACAGAGAAGAGTATTGGCTAAGGCTTTAGATTAGGGAACACTGAACACACATTCATTATTAACTCTTAATTAATAGCGAATGTGTTCCCTAAAGGATTTCTGGGTATTGTTGCTCTTCAGGAACTGAACACACCCAGAATAAGAAAAGGGCTCAGGGCTGCCTCACAACCAGGGCTTTTCCTCTTTGATCGGCTGCCATCCGGCCGACCCTGAGAACCAGAACAGACAAAAATAACAGTTTCTTTCCTCAAACCATCAACCTCTCCAACAGCTAAATGCCCTCATGTTCTCCTCACTGTGTGCAATGAACACTATCTGCAAAACCGAACTCACTGTTAATGTGTAATAAAACGCTACACTTCTTATTCCCTCAGAGGAAAAAAAATCAAAAGTGAGATCTGTTTAACATCTCAAATATTTCTCCTAGACAGAAATGAGGTTACTTATCATCAAACTGAGATTTTTGCTTGAGTCTCCTGTTTCTCACACTTGTCTCCTGAGACAAAACGTCTATCCCTCTCACGATGGTCTCCTTTAAAGTGTAGCGTCTGGACCACTCAAACACAGACTAGTTTAAGTGTTTATGTAGTTAATAAAACCTTACTTGTATCACACTTGACGTGGTTCATTGTTTGCTTATAACTGGAGTCACTTAATCATGCAGATTTATGCTACAAGCTTTCGTAGAATTGTACAGTAAGAAAGTTATTTCCCTTAACCAGGAAGTTAACGTTCTTAGAATTGACAAGACAGTTGACCCTGAGAGGTCAGCTAAATATCTACAGCGGATCTAAAATATTCATAATTAATTATAACTAGTTATGGTTAATTATTCATATTTCCCATGAGCTGATTCATTACAAAAGCTTTAGAAGAGATCTCATCATCATCACACATGTGCTCAGACTTTTCTCCTACACTAAAGACTCTTGGACTCTCATATTTGTCTCCTTTAAGGCTTTAGAAGGGATCTCAACAACTTTACAAAGTGTGCACCAAGTCAAGTACTTGTCAGGTACTAAATGACGTAAAAACAATCCATAAATTCAGAGTTTAAGGCTATATTAAGAGTGAAATTATGCAGAATTAAAGATGATGTTACTCTTGTTGACGCACAATAAGAGAATAGAGCTGTACAGGTTATAGCGCACATCATTTGTTGTTGGAAACAGTAATGTACCCGATGACTTCATCAAAACTGACTCACAGAATTCTTGAAGTCACATTAAATGGCTTATGACTCAGTCCTTGACTAATTGGATTATTAACACATATTATATGATAAAAATGTTTGAGCTCATATTGAGACATTTGACTTGGTGCACACTTTGTAAAGTTGTTAAGATCACCTCAATATCAGAGGAGACAAATGTGAGAGAAAAGTGTAGGAGAAAAGTCGTGGCCTTCTAAAGGAAGTCGTGACCTAATAGTTAGAGAGTCCCGTAACCCGTAACCCAAAGGTTGTGGGTTCGAGTCTCGTACCGGCAGGGATTGTAGGTGGGGGGAGTGAATGTACAGCGCTCTCTCCCACCTTCAATACCCCGACTGAGTGCCCTTGAGCAAGGCACCGAACCCCCAACTGCTCCCCGGACGCCGCTGCAAAAAGAATGGCTGCCCACTGCTCTGAGTGTGTGTTCACGGTGTGTGTGTTTTCACTGCTGTGTGTGTGTGTGCACTTTGGATGGGATAAATGCAGAGCACTAATTCCAAGTATGGGTCCCCATACTTGGCCACATGTCACTTCACTCACTCACTCACTCACTCACTCACTCAAAGCTTTAAAGCAGACCATCGTGAGAGTGATAGACGTTTTGTCTCAGGAGACAAGTGTGAGAAACAGGAGACTCAAGCAAAACTCTCAGTTTGATAAGTAACCTAATTTCTGTCAAGGAGAAATATTTGAGATGTTAAAGAGATCACACTTTAGATTTTTTCTTTCCTCTGGGGTGTGCTGCTGTCACAATCACCAGCTGGAGTGCCCTTGATGGCCACCAGAGGGCACTTCACCCTAGACTTTTGCCATTCCATCAAAGACTACATCCCCCATGATCCTCTGCCCTGTTTCATCATCGCTGATAGTCTACAGGTGTCACTCATTAGCCTCATTCGCTCACCCTATATAAGCCCGGTTCACGCTGGCATTCATTGCTAAGTCTTGCTAGTGTCAGCTGCGTTTCTAAGCCTTGTTTCTGCCATGTCTTGGTTTCTGCTCTTGTTATTCTGCAGTGTTGCCAATTTAGCTACTTTGTACATAGGTATCAGCATATAATATACACACTTGTTTCGATCATAAGAAGGCGAATTCATAGATACTAGACATGAAATAGGTGAGGTTATATTAACTAGTGGTCTATCATAACATGCATAAAACAGCATACACTACAACAGACAATATACAAGAACAGTAATGGTATACACAATGACCTGAAGGATATGTGTATTCAATCAAAGAAAGGTTTTCCTATGAATTAATTAGAGAACAGTCCATTTCTCTGGGCATTATGTGTCTTTCTTATGAGGAAAATGAGGGAGTTTATCTCCCGCATTCCTTTAGGCCATAAAACCAGTGATATCATGATTAGTTGTCATGGTGACCCAGGTGGGGGATGGTGTTCAGCAGAAACCCTGGCATCCAGTTTATTGAGTGAGGGGACTGTGACGATTTGTTAATCTAATGAATAATTGATTTGTTAAATCAAATAAAAATTAGTGTGTCAGATTGGTCGAGACGCTACAGTAGCTAGATTTAGCAACTTCCCCGCCCCTATTGAGACTTTATTCAAAAGTTTAGGGACAAATATAGCAACTTCTTGGACAAACCTTAAGTTCTCATCTTTATATACAGTAGATCAGTGAATTTGTCATTGTAATGTCATCTAGTGACATTTAGCTACCAGTTTTAGCTACTTTCAATTGAAAGAAGTTGGCAACACTGTTACTCTGCCTGTTTTTGGATTAGCCTTTAGCCTCTGTTTTTTGCCCTGTTGTTATTGTCTGGACTGATTACCTCTGTATATGATTGTGGATTACCCCTTCATTAAATATATCGCCTTTGGATCCTCTACCTTCGTGTCACCGTGCAGTTCATGACTGATGCATACTGTATACATTGCTGGGCACTGAAGAGAAATTTAAACTAGTAACCATTTAAAACTAGCACTAAGTATTGACATCGAGGTTCAACTGCTCCTCGGACAGCAGGAGTTTGAGTCTGACTGAAGGTACTTTCCTGCTCCTGTTCTCCTCCTGCCTCTCATTCTACTGTCCTGACCATTAAAGGTGAAAAACCTGGATGTAATAAAAGGAAAGAGCCTCTGCGTGATAAAATGCTCCTGTACTGGAGTCTTGAAAGAGGTCACAGCGAGACAAAGAGATCTCCCATATTTCTCACACCACATTCTCAAGACCAGAAAGAATCCGTTAGAAAAGTCTCACAAGCGTCTCCTGACGTCTCAACAGTCTCTCTCGCTTCTCCAGCATCTCTTTCAGAGGCCTTCAACATCGACACCGAACATCCACTGAGATTTAACGGCACGCCAGAAGATTTCTTTGGTTACAGCGTTTATCAGACTGAGTTTGGAAACCAGAAACAGTGAGTCAGACACACACTGGTTGCTAGGGTGTTCTGTGTGGTTGCTAGGTGTTTTCTTGTGTGTGTCTGATTGATTGTGTGATGTGTTTCTCAGGATCATTGTTGGAGCTCCATTAGAAGGAAACTCAACAGGGGAGATGTACAGCTGCTCTGCAGATCTGCAGTCCTGCAAACGGCTGCAGCGGCCAGGTATCAGCTTCACAGCCCATCTATCAGTGACTGCTGTGGACTTTCACTGCTTTATACTGAGCTGATGACACTCCTCTCTCTCTCTCTCTGCTGGGGTTTGACAGGTTCAGAGAGCGTCCGCTTCTTCGGCATGTCTGCTGCTGTGTCGTCTGCTGCTCTCACTGTAAGTTCACTGTCTCTGACGGCCAAACACCTTCATGACATGCTAACGATGTGTGTGTGTTTCTCAGAGCTGCAGTCTGTATTTTCCTCATGAGTGTGATGGAAACTCGTATCTGAACGCTGTTTGCTACCAGTTCAGCAGCAGCTTACAGGCCGTCTCCAACTTCACCATTGCTTACCAAGGTCTGACGAGTCTCTCACACGAACCAAGACTTCAGTTTAACAATCTCAGCCTTCAATAGTTCTGATGAGTCTCTCACACAAACCAAGACTTCATGCTCTTTTAACCATTTCAGACTCTAACACTGTAAAACATGCGTTGCTTTATTTCATTTGGAGATATTTATCAACATCTCTAAAGATTAAATACATTACGTTTTATTTGTTATATTTAAAGTAACAGCAGAGTTTGTGTATCTTGTGGTGTTTCTGCAGAATGCACCAAGAGAGAAGTCAATCTGGTGTTTCTCTTTGATGGATCCGCCAGTATGAAAACACGCGAGTTTGACATGAACAAAAACTTCATTAAAGATGTTATGAAAAAACTTTCAAACTCATCCATAAAGGTGAAACTGCCCATCAGCTATATGAATGTGGAAATATTGAACATGAAAATCAGTGTTTAAAAGTGTACAGTTCAAACACTGTACTGTGAACATGATGTCTAATAATGATAATGCTTTTGTTTGTTGTCAGTTTGCTGCTGTCCAGTTTTCATCAGAAATACGAACTGTATTTGACTTCAACGATTATCAGAACGGCTCCGCTGAAGAGAAACTCATGAAAGAGAAACACATGAAAACTCTTACAAACACATATCGAGCAATCAACTACGTTCTGTGAGTGAAACTCTCTTATGATTATGAACGATCACTGAATTTACTCTGATACATTTACATTTAGTCATTTAGCAGACACTTTTATACAAAAGTGACTTACAAATGAGGACATTGGAAGCAATCAAAATCAACAAAAGAGCAATGATATGCAAGTGCTACAACAAGTCTCTGTTAGCTAAACGCAAAGGTTTTTTTTAATCATATTGTGACGTAGTGATTCTAGCTTTACCGTTAACTCAAATCACACTTCACAGAACATTACAAAACAAAATAACCACACTCTTACAATTGCAAAACTGTCTTTTTTCCCCCTTTCCTTTTCCACTTTTTTATTTAACAAAGCGGGGCTTAATTCTTTTTCCAATATCCCTTGCTTATTCAAAGCATGTTAAAGTACACAACCCATAAACAACCAAAAATAAACCATCTCATGCATTAGTTCACCATAGAGGTTAGCATCAAGGTATCACAAATGTCTTTCAAATGAGGGAGAATAATACACGAGTCATCAATAGCTATCAAGACAACATCAATACATATTCCAACCCAGTACTTCGATGCATCAAGTCTCAAAGTCCATAACTGAAGCAACCCAACATAACATCAACTCATCTCGCATTAATTCATAACACAACATATGGTTCTTTCACCAGTTCTGATGACTCTTGAGTGTTGGTGTTCTTAAATGGAGGGTTCATGGGGAAAATGATTGATGTTGGTGTGTGTGTGTGTTAGGTGTCTGTTAGACCCCTCTTTTCTGAGAGTCATTGATGATTAGATAGCTTCGTGGAGGTAGATGAATGAACTGGTTAAGGCCTACCTGGAGTCCCACGCATAGATAGTGGATTTGAGGTCCAGCCAAGACAACACGAACTCACTCAAAGGTACAGCGTTCCAATCCCGCGTAGTTCAATCACAGCTGATAAACGAGTGCTGTAGCAAACTTCCGAACCCTCGTCCACTGTGCAGCCAGCGCAATTCCTGTAACCCGGTAATCTTCAGTCTTGTAGTTTCATTGTCGGCGGCTTGACTTCACGGCACTTCCTGTCTGATGATTCAGCTTTCGTACGCCCCAGACACCACGAGGAAAGGAGCAGCTTGCAGGAATTGTAGAATCCAGGCCCTCCTCTGCAGCGCAGCGAGCAAAGCTTTCATAATACGGTCATCTTCAGTCTTGTCGGTTTGTGTTTTGCACATTTTAAACGTCTACAATCTCCAGGCAGTTCAGCCTTCCTACTCTTGTCTCAGCAGACGAAAACTGGTACTCGCAGGCCAACGGACACAACAACTCTCACGTGCACACACACCTGTATCTAAATGGATTTGATTTCTCCATTTCCTTCAGCCTACTGACCCCTCCCACTTGATGCATTGCATTTTGGGCTTCGTAGTTCATTTCCGTCACACTATAATAAATAAAAAGAAAACAGATCAAACAGAAAAAGAATAGAGAAGCTAGTGTTAGAGGACTTTGTTTTCTTTTTATTATACAATTAACAAAAGCAAATAAAAATAGAATACAAAAAGATCAGAGAAGCAAGTGTTTTTTTTTAAAGAAAACAAGCAGTTAGTAATTGAATAGAGTGCAAGTCTAAAAGGTGCAAGTTTAAAAAAATAAAACAAATACTATCAAAACAATTTGATATAGTTGAACATCTACACGTGTTAGTATTTCAATTTCATTACTATCTAAACAAAAAGGGAAAACTAAGGAATAATGTTGTGCTGTAATGTAAACAGACTATGAACATATACTGCAGTGAAGTGAATTATGAGCAGTAGAGTGTTATTCTTGTTCTGTAAAGACTTTTTACGAAGGCAAACACTGTATGATGCTACATGTGCCAAGATGAAAGCTTGTTAGGAGAACTGTGTTTTTCTATAAATTAGAAGTTAAAAAACATATTGGTTATAGAAACGACAGAAGCACATTGACACTGAGGCTGAAATCAGTTCATATGTCATGATTTATGATTTATTATATCATCAGAAATAATCTGCTGAATAGTGTGTCGTCTGGAGCCGATCCCAACGCTCAGAAAGCTCTGGTGATCATCACAGATGGAGACCCCTCTGAATCTGATGCTGATAATGTCCTCAACAGATGTGATGAGCAGAATATCCTCCGCTATGTCATCGGGGTGAGTTTCTCTAAAGCTCAAGCATGTCATTTATTCTGTATGTTCAGATAATTTAGTGATTTAGTGTCACTAGTCGTACAGAAACTACACACTGTTGTTCAGGTGGGAAAGGTTAGTTTAACCACACTCAGTCAGCTGGCATCAGAACCAAAACACAACAACACCTTCTACATCCAAGACTACAGTGGACTCAAAGGACGTGTTGACAACCTGCAAGAAAAGATCTACAATATTAAAGGTAAAATGGACATGTACAGAAAATGGACACTAAATGTAAGTTTTCAAATAGAAGCAGCTAATGAAAAATCCACAGATGATTGTAAGAGTTTTCCTTCTGTGTTTCAGGGTCAAAGGAAGCTCACGGCAGAGACCGACAGAGAGAGTTATCACAGAGTGGATTCAGTGTCGTCTACCAGGAGGTAAGATAAATGTCATATGAAGTAATAAATAATTATTTCTATTAAGGAATAATTCATGTCATTCCATGAAAGTAGTTCATTCAGTTTGTGCGCTATATTCCAAGTCTGAAGTCAACTTCTAAAGTCATTTGAAAATGTTCCCTTCTCAAAATCTCATGAAATGCTGCTGACTTGTCAACTAGCCAATAGGCTGCGATGCTCCCTGGTGCATTGTGGGAATGTTTAGGCAGTGAATGTTTCAGTGCACTGGAATGATTTAGATACTGTAGAAATGGCAGAAGCACTGATCTAGTGAGCTGATGGAGAAACACTCACAGTTTTTTCTAAACACAATGTGAATAATTAATTTATAAATTATTTACAAACTTGTTCATTATCCTATTCAGTCTCTGTCATGTATTGTTAATGTAATGTATTGTTGTGTCTAAACAGTTCATGGAAATATAAATTAATTTAAATGTTTATTCATAGACACATTTGTTTAAAATACAATCTAATAGTCAATGCTGGGTTGCCACTTTGTCAAATCTGGAACCTGAAGTAAAACCAGAGCACCACAGATCCAGTTTATTTGCTGCTAAACATCAAAAACTCTGAACATCTTTCAAAGATTCAGTGTCACTAACCTCACTTAGTTGAGAGATTCAGGGACTAGTTTTCAGCTGACGGGAAGAGTGGTTTTATCATTCTCCATGACTGTGTCTAATAAAGCAATGCTGAGACTGCAGTGTTTGTTGCAGGACTCTGTGATCGTGGGTTCGGTCGGATCAAATGACTGGCGTGGAGCTCTGTATGAAGTGACAGGATCAGGATCTGAATTCAGACAGACGGAGATCATCGGTCCAGCTGTAAATAAAGACTCGTACATGGGTATGTTGGAGTGTTTGTTCTTGTGTGATGTGAAGAGTTTGTGTGTGTTTTAATGACGCTGATGGTGTTCAGGTTACTCTACTGTGCTGGGAATGAGACGCGGCGTCTCTCTTCTGTTCTCTGGGGCGCCGCGCGCCGAACACAGGGGTCTGGTGACCCTCTTCACCAAGAACCAAAACACATGGACAGTGACAAGAAACATCAGTGGAGAACAAGTGAGAAACCTTCAGACACAATATTATCTCTCTCCACCGGTGAGACCAGGGGCTCCCAAACCTACAGTCCACTGAGAAGATCAGCAGACCCTTCAAACACAAACACTGTCATGAGATTCAGTATTTCACCAAAAACAAACAAACAAGCATTCTACTCACAATATAGACTCTGCAATGCCATATCCAACAGAGAAAAGGAGCAAACTAAGTCTACAAAGACCTCATTCATTTCTAGTCAGTATTGGGTGTCATTGTGTTTGTGAAGCAGAATGTGCTGTTTTCATATTTCATCTGTGAACATCAGGCTATAAAAGCATGTGCTAGAATGTAATTCCATTCATTTTTATTGATTTCTGTCATCAGATTGGCTCATATTTCGGAGCGTCTCTGAGTCTGTTGGATGTGGACTCTGATGGAGACTCAGATTTCCTGCTGGTCGGAGCTCCATTATTTTACCAGTCTCAGCCGAGGGCTGAAGGGAGGCTGTACGTCTACGCTTTATCAGAGCAGGTACGCACAGATTCACCACTGTTATCATGACTCTTCATGAACAAGCCTCAGGGTAACTGTGACTGGAAGGCTGCTAGTCATCACCATTGTGTTACTCCACTGGAATTGCTGTTGTAATAGGTTCCCATGACGTGAAAGTCATGGAAATGGTTCTGGTGCTGGTCATGTGCCGATGAATAAAGATTCTGTTTTCATCTCTTTCCCTCTCCATAGTATTTTCAGAAGACGCTGCAATCCACCACTGGCAGATTTGCAGCGTCTGTGGCTTCACTAAAGGACCTGAATGGAGACAGTCTGTCAGATGTGGCGGTCGGGGCGCCTCTGGAAAATGAAGGAGTCATCTACATCTACCTGGGCCACAGGGCGCATGGCATAAACCCTGAACACACTCCTCAGGTGAGAGTTTGCTGTGCTTCCCTCAAACCAAAACTCTGTGTTTGTGCTCACATTTAACCCAGAATATGTTCCCAGATAAACAGTAGATCTGTTTGTGTGTGTTTAGCGGATCCCAGCGCGGTCAGTTCTGCCCGGTCTGCAGCAGTTCGGAGTCTCTCTGTCCGGTCAGATGGACATGAACGATGATAATCTGACAGATATCGTGATCGGAGCACAAGGAGGGATTGTCCTGCTCAAGTACGTCATTCTTTAGTTTGGAGAATAAGATTTATTAGGTGTCAAACTACTGAATTTATCACATTATTAGTAAGCAACCTCTTTACCACATCAGTGATCTTGCTGATTAGCCTCATTGCCCAGTATTGAGAGCTACTGACTCTTTTCTCTCTTCTCAGGGCTCGGCCTGTGATATCTGTATTAGCGCAGCTCAGTTTCAGTCCAAAGGAAATCAGTCTGAACTACTTTGAATGTCCGAGTGACAACACATTTAACGCACTTGAGCTCACGTCATGTTTCACAGTGAACGAGCGCACCAGCAGCACAGGTAATGTCAATAAAGTTTCAGAGTGTCTGTCGGTGCCAATAACCTTGTGGGCAGTGTGCCGACATACAGCGCTGTTGTGCTACGGGCGGCCCGAGTTTGAATCCCAGCTCGAGGACCTTTCCCTAATCGCATCCACCCTCTCCCACTTTGCTTCCTATCAGTTCTTATCTGTCCTATCGTAATAAAATGGCAAAAATAAATCTTTAAAAAAAGTTTCAGAGAGTCCCTCTGTCACATGAAGAAAACAGCCTCCATGTCTTACCCTCTCAGGATCTCTGGAGAAGAAGCTGAATGTTTCTCTGAATCTGAATGTGGATGTGGTACGAAAAATGAGTCGAGGATTCTTTGACCAGAGGAATTCATCGTCCAGGACTCTGCAGATGTTCGTCCTGCTGGATTCTGGGTTCTTCTGTTTCAGCTTCTCCATCTTCATGCTGGTACGTGTCGTCTATCACAGCTTCAGCCGATTACAGAGCTTCGGTCTGACGGTGAACGTTGTGTTTGTTTCAGCGCTGTGTTGCAGACACAGTCTCTCCTCTGAAGATAAGAATGAATTTCTCACAAAATGATATGTTGTCTGGAAACTCTATGGCTGTTCTTGATGTTCACAGCAGGATGGAGGAGTATGTCGAGGTGAGTCTACAAATATCAGATTTTACTCTGATATTCAGTGTAATGGCAAATTTTAAGCAGTCCCCAACATACTTCGCCGACATTCTTTAAACGACTATCTAAATAAACTTAAGTTGTACCTTTTAAGGATGAGATGAGCAGGATGGAAAGACATGTGCAAGGTAGGCAGGTAGCAGGCAGGCCGGGCAGGATGGCTGGATCAAACAAACAATATTCCAAAATGGATTCCAGTAATCCATACAAAGGTTAGAGTAGGGTTGAAAGTATACAAACTCAAGATCAAATTAGTCAAATAAAATAGCAAAGCAAATAGCCTTAAATAACTGTTATGCCTAGTAGGTTGGTAGTGTGCTGCTTTGTTCTTTGTTCTCTGACAAAAAAGTGAGAGGCGGCCATCTTTAACTTCACTGCCTTCTCAAGGCCTAACAAAATAAAAGTATCTTAAAAAAAAAAACCTTATATACCAAAAAATATTTTTGTACTCCTATAACCTAAATAAATAAATAATGGCTCCAACATAGCCGGCCCCTTATTGCGACCGACGGAAGCAAGCTATAACAAACAAAATACAATTTTAAAGGAGCCATAAATTGTTTACTTAAATTCATTGTACTATTCTATACCACGTACAAGATTATTTGCATTCAAATCAGTGTATGTGCATGTATGAGTGTATGCACGTGCACAAAGACTATAAAAGCCTTAATTAGGTTATTGGCCTTCTACCAGCAAGCAGATCTTGCTGACAGGTCTCTTGAGCTGGCTTGTTTTGGTTTGTAGACGTACACTGCGAACCAGGCCTTTGGAGTCAGGAAAGGCTTCAGTGACTCTGGCCAACATCCATGAACCTCGCGGAGCTGAGGCATCAGCTACCAGCACAATGTCTCCTTGACGGAAGTTGCACCTGGTCCGTGACCTTTTTTGCCATGCTTGCAGAAGAGGAAGATACTCTCGAATCCAACGCTTCCAAAACAAATCAGCAATGTACTGCACTTGCCTCCAGCGACGCCTACTGTAAAGATCTTCTTTCACAAACAATCCAGGAGGTAGAAGCGGCTGCATCTTAAGCTGCAGTAAGTGGTTAGGTGTTAAGGGCTCCAAATCATTTGGGTTATCAGAAACCTAACACATTACTGTTTGAAGACCTTCTTCATCCAAATATTGTTCGCTGGTGACTGACCGGAACACTGTTTTGATCATGCGAATCAGCTTTTCCCATATCCCTCCATAATGAGCACCATGGGGAAGGTTAAACGTCCACTTCACCCTGTTTTGGAGCAGGCTTTGTTCAATCTGTTGCATGTTCCAAGATTTTAAAGCTTCCTTTAGTTCCTTTTCAGTTGAAACAAAGTTTGTTCCATTACCTGATCACAACTCAGACACTGGTCCTCTTCTAGCAATGAAACGCCTGAATGCATGAATAAAAGAGTTCGTATATCAAGCCAATGTGCAACTTCCAAATGTATTGCACGGCTGGTAAGACATGTAAAAATCATGCCATAGCGCTTCACGATGCTATGGCCTCGTTTTATTTCCAGTGGTCCAAAATAATCTACCCCTACATGAGTGAAGGGCGGAAGGTCAGGGGTCAACCTGTCAATAGGCAAAGTTCCCATTTTCTGTTCACCTGCACTGGAGTTTATTCTTCTGCATGATGTACATTCACGAATTACCTTTCTGGACAAGGAATTGGCACAAGGAATCCAGTATCTTTGTCTAAGCTGGGACAGCATGAAATTCCTTCCACTGTGTTCAACTTCTAGATGGATGTGCCGAAGTAAGAGCTTGGAAACATGATGGTTTTTAGGAAGAATGGCAGGATGTTTCTGCTCAGTAGGCATTGTCATTTTGCTCAAGCAGCCACCCACCCTCAAGATGCCATTATCAAGAACAGGATCTAACCTGTAGACGGGGCTGCTTCTACCAACATTCTTCATGCCTTTCTGTAAGCGATTTATTTCCTGCAAATATTCCTGCTTTTGGCAAAATTGTATAATTGCCACTTCAGCATCCTCCATATCTTGTACTGATAATACATATGAATCAAGTTTCTCCTGTTTTCCTTTGTCTTGTGGTCATAATATGCCTGCTTTGTTCTGCCACAGCCCTTTTGAGCCTCATCCATGTTGAGAAGTTCATGAGGAAAGTTGTAGTGTCAAAGTTGTCTTTCATTGCAACATTTACAGTGACCATTTCCTTTCTTAATTCTAGGTCATCTGGAAAGAGGATGAGTTCGGATGGAGGGTCTGGCAAACAATGAGATGGTTCCCTTAGGAAGTCTGGGCCATTGATCCAGGTCTTTCTTTTCAGAAATCTGTTGACTGTCAGCCCCCGGGAGGAATAATCAGCAGGATTCCATTTTGTGCCTATGTACCTCCACTGAGACACCTTTGATGCACTTCTGATTATATTAATGTGGTTTTCCACAAAGGTTTGGAATCTTCTGCTTTCATTGCAGATGTACCTCAGGATGGTCATGCTATCTGTCCAGAACAGAGATTGCGCCAACTCCATATGCAGCTCTTCAGACAATATCTTGTCCATATGTACAGCTAGAACTGCAGCAGTGAGTTCCATCCGTGGTGTAGTCATCACCTTCAAGGGAGCAACCCGAAATCAGATGCGCATTAACATATTTCTGACCTCTTTTATTAATCCATGTATCCTCACCATGGAAAGGACCATTCACTACCCAACCTAACAGTGTTTTTATAGCAAAGTGGCCATTACCCTGGCTATTAATAATTCTCCAAGGTTCCATCAAATTGGGCGCAATTATCCCAATGAGAAGGCCAACCTCCGCGTTAATGGTGGGTATATCCACATCGTGACGATAGGGCCATTTTTGGATGTCCTTCTGCTTGGGGATATGTTCTTTATCAACAGGAATTTCCTGCTGAGTGTAAACATCTGGCAAATTTATAAATTCCTTGCCGTCCAGGCTACACACTTCCAGGCCTTTGACCACCAGGGTATTAATGGGCTTATTTTGCCCCATAGTACGCAGAAGTATTTGTTGGTGTTTGCCCTTGGCATTTAAACCTTTTCTGAGCTGCTCAGTGCAAAGGTAGCAGAACTTCCCAGGTCAAAGAAAGCATATGTCTGAACTACATAATTTGAGATGGTCAGCTTGACTTGAACGGGTAAAATTGCAAGAGTGCACTGTTTATCACTACAATCAATTGCCTCAGTCTTAAGTGAAACCAGCCCACTGCTCACTGCCTTTCCAAGAATACAGCTTGAACTGCCTGAATCCTTCTGGTCTTTATTACTTTTATTTAGGGGTATGTGTACGATTGTGGTGTTACGTTCCCAGCTAATCTAGGGTTGGAGGAACAAGTAACAGAATAGAAAAGGTGATGTGTGGCGGCAGCAAGACTCAATTCTCAACCCCAGAGCTTTAACAAAGGCCAAGAATCTCGATATCAAAAACAAGTTATTTTATTTGACAGATATGGAAGGATGTCAAGACTTCAAGAGGGGGCAAGGCCAAAATAACAAACATAAACCCTCTAACTATTTGGGAGAAACTGACTAAGCTACACAAAGAAAAGAAAACAAAAATACAATAGATATAACTACCTCCCTAACTAACATAAACAAGAGAAAAACAAAATAAAGAAAATGGCACCCACCTCTCTACTAACACTTTCCCAATAAACTAACAACATAAGTTTAACAGATAAACAATAACATAAATAGGGACAAAACAAATAATAACTTCCAAAACAAACCAGATTTCTTGTCGTAGGCGTCAAGTACCACAAGAGTGTCAACACAACAACACTGGGAAGAAACCATTCAACAAAATATTAACCAAAACAACTTAATAAAGCTTTTAAGGTTGAGAATAGAAGCCTCCCGACGCAGCCTCCACACACACCCTTGCGCTGTGCAATGGTGCTGCTTAAATTCTCACGGCTTCCCCTCCTCCTGCAATCACATCAGATCACCAATCATTGGAAACAGGTGGCAGCCATTACCCCCTGCTTGTAGGAAAAGAGAGAGAGAGAGAGAGAGAGAGAGCGCGAGAGAGAACAATCGGGGGAAAAAAAAAACCAAATACGTCCTTGGACGTAACACCCTCACCACAAAAGATTACAGCCAAAGGTTGTAATACAAAAATATACCACTAGACAAGTCTTAATTATCCAGAACATAAGTTCTAGACAGAGCATCTGCAACAACGTTATCAGCTCCTTTTTTATGCCGGATCTCGATGTTATATTCTTGCAGAATAAGAGACCAACGCATCAAACGTTGGTTGGAATTAGACACTCAAGAGAAACACCAAGGGATTATGATCGGTGTAAACCGTAATGGCGCTCTTACTTCCACCCAAATACACCTCAAAATGTTGAAGCGCTAACAATAAAGCCAATGCCTCTTTCTCAATTGTACTGTAATTCTGTTGACTCTTAGAAAACTTCTTAGAGAAAAAAGATACAGGATGTTCAATGCCCGCTTGATCTTCCTGCAGTAAAACCGTGACAAAACAAATAATATGTTCCAAGAGTCCTTTTGCCTCTGCAAACCCTCTGTCTGCATCCATATGAAGGCAACTTCTAACAAACTCTTTAGAAGTTGGTATACTGTTCAAGGTAATATAACCGATCTTGACTGCTGTTGGTCTTGCTTTCGATACAGTGTTCAAATGCCTGCATGAATGGTTTAAAGTTCAGTGGTTCACCATTGAATACAGGCACATGTCTAGTTGGAAGAGAAGACATTTTTTGCTGTTGCACAATAAGATCAGTAAAAGCACCCAGATTGTTGCTGGTTAAGCCTGAAGGCACAAGTGGTAATGTGGCATCTGCACTAGTTTGACTAATCTGATTCAATGGTGGCATTTGACAAGGACCTTGACACCTCTGAAGCCTTACATCATGTGTCAAAGCTCTTTGCAGTGGTGTTTTAGGGATAACAGAGATTTTTGTATATTCCACTGGTGAGGGTTCTGGTTGCAGAGTGTAATAATTTTATTAGCTCTAAAAAGGGAA